TCAGACGAGCAGATTTTCAGACGAGCAGATTTTCAGACCAGCTCGAATCTGCAATGTAAATTTCGTCGCCAGCTGGTTTTATGTGGTTGAGAGCGGTGGAACGCAAATATGGAACGGGAGTATTCCGGAAAGTGGTCCTGGGAACACGATCTCAAGGTCAAGAGTGAGTCTCGTAGGAACAAGATGCATAGTCTCTTACAAGTTGAACTTCGTTTCAAATTCTTATATATTGGTAACATTCCGCTACCAAAGCTGCCTGTGTGTATAAGCTCAGCAACGCGTCACCTCCCCAGCTGGGCACGTGGACAGATCGATGTTTCGACCGAAGCAGTTTTGATGTGGAACTCTTTAGAAGTTTCGACCACCGCACTGTACCGATCTGTGGCATTTTGAGTTTGCAGTTTGTGATAAGGTGAGAATTATCCGTGATCGTGCACGTCACTGAGCTCATGTCGAACGGTTACGATACTTTGGAAGAAGCAATGCGATATCGTAGCCGTTTATTTACTTGATCAGCATTTTCTGGGTTTTATCGGGAAGTTGTCAGTTTGCGGGGAAGCGTGGGCAGCACACAGCCACAGGCAAGAGTCGCGCTTTACTTGGTTATTATCAAACCGCTTACGACTACAATCTACGCATGCGTGTTATGTAAGCTACTAAAACGTGTATTACTGCCGTCACATGGTGGCTTCGACTAGCTTAGCTGACGACGCACAGGCAGTAGTGTGTGTCCGCAGAAAAGAGCAAGCAAAGCTTGCGTCAGTCATGGTTGGAAGGTTTGAAGACGCTCAGTAGAGTCGATATAGACGTGGCTTTGCGAAACCATGGTAGAAAATACCTCTAGAGACTTCTAAAACGCGAGGTACCACGTCGGAGACGCCTGGTAGCTTTAGAGTCGACCGTGTACGCGTGGCGTGTGGCTGTGTGCTGTGTGCTGTGTTGCGTGGGATCGGCAACTTGTCGCGTGAAGGTTGAAGGTTGAATCTTTTGCAGCGTCGTGTGACATTGCAACAAGCCGTTGCAGGGTAACTCCATATGTAACAAGGTGGCTTCGAGTCGACCCTAAGTCGCCTAGGTAGTGGGAGAAGGCGAAGATGCCGGGGACTCGATGGAGGGAGCGGAGGGAGCGGAGCGACAACCTTATGCAGCGCCTGCAGCACCGCGAGACGTTCCGCTCGCCGCCATGCGCGCAGGCAAGTCGAGAGAGCAGCCGGCGGTTGATTGAGTGCGAGCTTGAGAGCTATCTCGTAACCGAGCACAGCGGCTTAGTGCCAGGCTGCCAGCGCTTATAGTAATCTTGTAACCGAGTACAGCAGCTCAGTGCAGCGCTTGCTGCACCGCGAGGCGTTCCGCTCTCCGCCTGTCGCAGGCTAAATGCAGAGAGCAGCAGCTGATCATTCTGATCTGAATGACTCGTTTACAAGCCGCTGCAGCTAATCATTCTGAATGGCTCGTTACAAGCCGCTGCAGCTAATCATTCTGAATGGCTCGTTACAAGCCGCTGGCAGCTAATGATTCAGAATGACTCGTTACAAGCCGCTGCAGCTAATCATTCTGAATGACTCGTTACAAGCCGCTGCAGCTAATGATTCAGAATGACTCGTTACAAGCCGCTGCAGCATTGAGAGACTGCATGAACTTCCTCCCTCATCTCCTTCCTCCTCTCCTCTCCTTCCTCCCTCCCTCTCCTCCCTCCTCTCCTCCTCCTCCTCCCCTCCTCTCCTCCCTCCTCTCTCACCTCCTCTCCTCCCCTCCCCTCCCCCTCCCCTTCTCTCCTCCCCTCCTCCCCTCTCCTCCCCCTCTCTCCCCCCCCCACTGTCCCCACTCCCCGCCCTTCCTCACAAACATTTTTGTAACCCTCATCCAGTAACACTCTGTGCATCGCTTATAAAAGAACGCCGCGCCGTCCCATACGGTGTACAAAGTAAAGTCACCAGAGCATTTTCCGTGCAACTTAAAATGAATATTTTTCTCTCTGTTTAACCCCCTCCTCCAGCTACACTCCGTGCGCCGCTTATACGAGAACATCGTGCCGTCCCATACGGTGTACGACGTGGAGTCGCCGGAGCACGTGATTCGCCGGTTCAGCCATGACGGGCAGTACTTGATCTGTTTCTCCAGGAACGGCCTTGAGCTCATAGTCTACCGCTTCCTCTGGTTCCAGTGAGTCGCTTCTTGCCCCTCCCTTGGTTCGATTCGGCCACGATGGGCAGTACTTGATCTGTTTCTCCAGGAATGGCCTAGAGCTCATCGTCTACCGCTTCCACCCACTGGCTCCAGTGAGTCCGTCTGTCTTGCTTTGCCTCATGCGTTGACTGGTCTAAAGTCACTGGAGTGCGTGGTTCATCTGTTCGGCTGATCCACGATGGGCAGTATCTCTCATCTGCTTCTCCAGGAATGGGTTAGAGCTCATCGTCCTGCTTTGTCTCGTGCGTGAGGAGTCTATTTTTGAGGAGCCCTCCTGTGAGTGAGTGAGTCCGTCTGCGCTGCTTTGCCTCATGCGTTGACTGGTTTAAAGCCACCGGAGCACGTGGTTCATCGGGCCGGTTCAGCCACTAAGGGCAGCAGTATCTCATCTGCTTCTCCAGGAATGGCCTGGAGCTCATAGTCTGCCGCTTCCGCTGGTTCCAGTGAGCCCATCTGTGCTGCTTTGCCTCACGTTGGTTCTAAGCCACCGGAGCACGTGGTTCATCGGGCCGGTTCAGCCACTAAGGGTAGCAGCATCTCATCTTCTTCTCCAGCAGCCTGTTGGTTCACTTGCCCAGCTGTGTTTCGAGGTGCCTTTTGACTCGACTCAAAAGTCACTTCAGCCACTAAGGGCAGCACGTCTCTTCTTCTTCTCCAGCAGCCTGTTAGTTCACTTGCCCGTCTGTGTTTCCTGGTGACTTTTGTGCTTCAAGGTCTTATTTTACTTGCCCCTCAGTGTTTCTCTCTGTGTGCCTCTCCCCTTGCCCTTTCTCTCTTCTCAGTTATGGTGCGCAGGGGGCAGCAGCATTGGCGGGAGCAGAGGAGAACGATTATCCCCCTCAGTCAGCCTGTCCTGTTATTCACCCCCCCTCTGTGTTTCTCTCTGTGTGGCTCCCCCCTGCCTCTCCCAGCTACTGCGCGCAGGGGGCAGCAGCAGTGGCGGAAGCAGAGGAGGACGATCATCTCCCCCGTCCACCCGCAAGTTTGAGAAGTATTTCGAGCAGCTGTACTGCGCGCCGCTGGGGCGGGGCAGCGAGGTGCTGTGCTGTGCAAGGGGTTCCCTTGGCTGCTCTGACATGAGATCATGTGTCCCTCCCCCCTCATCCCTCCTCCCACCTGTACTCCCCACCTCCCAGCTACTGCGCGCAGGGGGCAGCAGCAGTGGCGGAAGCAGAGGAGGACGATCATCTCCCCCCATCCACCCGGAAGTTTGAGAAGTATTTCGAGCAGCTGTACTGCGCGCCGCTGGGGCGGGGCAGCGAGGTGCTGTGCAAAGACCTCTTCCTCTGCTGCGAGGGCAGTGCTCTGGGGGTGTTTGCGTCGGCCACTCCTGCTGACCTGTCGTCCCCGCTAGGGTTGGGGCAGTGAAAGGGGTGCCAGCGATGGAGAGCATTACTCTGCATCTTGTGAGGTGGGTGGAAACACACTGAAAGTAGCTTTCTGTTCTGCGCTAGGGCTTCTATGTCATACTGTACTGTGCGCCGCTGGGGGGGGGGGGGGGCGGGTGGGGGCAGCGAGGTGCTGTGCAGAGACCTCTTCCTGTGCTGCCTGCGCCTGTGCTGCGAGGGCAGTGCCTTAGGCGTTTGGCAACGAACGTGAGGTGCTTTGAAGCGCCTGAAAGCAAATAGAGGTGCTGCTGTGCACATGCTTTTGAGGCGCCTCAAATGCTAATAGAGGTGCTGCTGTGCACATGCTTTTGAGGCGCCTCAAAAGCAAATTGAGGTGCTGCTGTGTACATGCTTTTGTGGCGCCTCAAAAGCAAATAGAGGTGCTGCTGTGCACATGCTTTTGAGGCGCCTCAAAAGCAAATAGAGGTGCTGCTGTGCACAGATCTCTCCTGTGCTGCGAGGTGACTTTGAGTCAACTCAATGTCACACAACACTGTGCACAGACCTCTTCCTGTGCTGCGAGGTGACTTTTGAGTCAACTCAATGTCACACAACACTGTGCACAGACCTCTTCCTGTGCTGCGAGGTGACTTTTGAGTCAACTCAATGTCACACAACACTGTGCACAGACCTCTTCCTGTGCTGCGAGGTGACTTTTGAGTCAACTCAATGTCACACAACACTGTGCACAGACCTCTTCCTGTGCTGCGAGGTGACTTTTGAGTCAACTCAATGTCACACAACACTGTGCACAGACCTCTTCCTGTGCTGCGAGGTGACTTTTGAGTCAACTCAATGTCACACAACACTGTGCACAGACCTCTTCCTGTGCTGCGAGGGCAGCACGCTGGGCGTGTGTGCCTCTGCAACCCCCGCTGACCTAGTGGTGTTGCCTCCAAGAGTGGGTGCTACGAAAGGGGCGCCTGCTATGGAGAGCATCACTCCGCACCTCGTGAGGTGAGAGAGAGGGGTAGGGAGCTACAAGGCAGTGCGCTGAGGCCAGGCCAGGGCCCTGGTGGGGGTGTTCGCCTCTGCCACCCCCGCTGACCTGGTGTCGCCGCCAAGAGTGGGGGTTGTGAAGAGCGTGCTTGCTGTGAAGGGCGTGCTTGCTACGGAGGGCATCACTCTGCACCTCGTGAGGTGGGTGGCAACAACATGCGATCTGGAGCACGTCAGAACACAAGGGGGGGTAGTGGAGGCTGTGACGGGGGTGCGCCCCCTTCACGGCCCCCTTCACGGCCCCCTTCACGGCCCCCTTCACGGCCCCCTTCACGGCCCCCTTCACGGCCCCCTTCACGGCCCCACTTTTGAAGCGCCTCTAAAATAGACTCCTCACCCACTTCACTGCTCACTTCACTGCCCACTTCACTGCCCACTTCACTGCCCACTTCACTGCCCACTTCACTGCCCCACTTCACTGCCCCACTTCACTGCCCCACGAACAGCATCACGCTGCACCTTGTGAGGTGAGTGGCAGAGGGGGGTAGGTAGCTAGAGGGCAGTGCCCCTGGCTCCGTACCTAGTGAAGTGAGGTGGGGGTGTTCGCCTCCATCTCCCCTTGCTCCCCTCTTGTTTCATAGACCGTGTTTTGACCCCCCCCCTCCTCCTCCCCTCCCTTGGCCTTCGCTCTCTTTTGACTCGACTCAAAAGTCAGTCCGTCTTCCCTTGCTCCCCTCTTGTTTCATATGTTTTGACCCCCCCCTCCTCCTCTCCTCCCTTGGCCTTCGCCCTCCAAACTCGCTGACGGCAAGGTGGTGGACAGGAGGGTGTTTCGCGCCCCTTCTCCTTCCACTGACCCCCCTTCTCCTTCCGCTGACCCCCCTTCTCCTTCCGCTGACCCCTCTTCTCCTTCCACTGACCCCCCTTCTCCTCCTGCTGACCCCCCTTCTCCTTCCACTGACCCCTCTTCTCCTTCCACTGACCCCCCTTCTCCTTCCACTGACCCCCCTTCTCCTTCCACTGACCCTCTTCTCCTTCCACTGACCCCCCTTCTCCTTCCACTGACCCCCCTTCTCCTTCCGCTGACCCCCCTTCTCCTTCCGTTGACCCTCTTCTCCTTCCGCTGACCCCCCTTCTCCTTCCGCTGACCCCCCTTCTCCTTCCACTGACCCCCCTTCTCCTTCCACTGACCCCCTTCTCCTTCCACTGACCCCCCTTCTCCTTCCGTTGACCCCTCTTCTCCTTCCACTGACCCCCCTTCTCCTTCTGCTGACCCCCCTTCTCCTTCCGCTGACCCCCCTTCTCCTTCCGGTGACCCCTCTTCTCCTTCCACTGACCCCCTTCTCCTCCTGCTGACCCCCCTTCTCCTTCCACTGACCCCTCTTCTCCTTCCGTTGACCCCTCTTCTCCTTCCGCTGACCCCCCTTCTCCTTCCGCTGACCCCCCTTCTCCTTCCGCTGACCCCTCTTCTCCTTCCACTGACCCCCTTCTCCTCCTGCTGACCCCCCTTCTCCTTCCACTGACCCCCCTTCTCCTTCCACTGACCCCCCTTCTCCTTCCGTTGACCCCTCTTCTCCTTCCACTGACCCCCCTTCTCCTTCCGCTGACCCCTCTTCTCCTTCCACTGACCCCCCTTCTCCTTCCACTGACCCCCCTTCTCCTTCCGCTGACCCCCCTTCTCCTTCCGCTGACCCCTCTTCTCCTTCCACTGACCCCCTTCTCCTTCCGCTGACCCCCCTTCTCCTTCCGCTGACCCCTCTTCTCCTTCCGCTGACCCCCCTTCTCCTTCCGCTGACCCCTCTTCTCCTTCCACTGACCCCTCTTCTCCTTCCACTGACCCCCCTTCTCCTCCTGCTGACCCCCCTTCTCCTTCCACTGACCCCCCTTCTCCTTCCGCTGACCCCCCTTCTCCTTCCGCTGACCCCTCTTCTCCTTCCGCTGACCCCCCTTCTCCTTCCGCTGACCCCCCTTCTCCTTCCACTGACCCCCCTTCTCCTTCCACTGTCCCCCCTTCTCCTTCCGCTGACCCCCCTTCTCCTTCCGCTGACCCCTCTTCTCCTTCCACTGACCCCCCTTCTCCTTCCGCTGACCCCCCTTCTCCTTCCGCTGACCCCTCTTCTCCTTCCACTGACCCCCCTTCTCCTTCCGCTGACCCCCCTTCTCCTTCCGCTGACCCCTCTTCTCCTTCCACTGACCCCCCTTCTCCTTCCGCTGACCCCCCTTCTCCTTCCACTGACCCCCCTTCTCCTTCCACTGACCCCCCTTCTCCTTCCGTTGACCCCCCTTCTCCTTCCACTGACCCCCCTTCTCCTTCCGCTGACCCCCCTTCTCCTTCCGCTGACCCCCCTTCTCCTTCCGCTGACCCCCTTCTCCTTCCGCTGACCCCTCTTCTCCTTCCACTGACCCCCCTTCTCCTCCTGCTGACCCCCCTTCTCCTTCCACTGACCCCTCTTCTCCTTCTGCTGACCCCCCTTCTCCTTCCACTGACCCCCCTTCTCCTTCCGCTGACCCCTCTTCTCCTTCCGCTGACCCCTCTTCTCCTTCCGCTGACCCCCCTTCTCCTTCCGCTGACCCCCCTTCTCCTTCCACTGACCCCCCTTCTCCTTCCGCTGACCCCTCTTCTCCTTCCGCTGACCCCTCTTCTCCTTCCACTGACCCCCCTTCTCCTTCCGCTGACCCCCCTTCTCCTTCCACTGACCCCCCTTCTCCTTCCACTGACCCCCGTTCTCCTTCCGTTGACCCCTCTTCTCCTTCCACTGACCCCCCTTCTCCTTCCGCTGACCCCCCTTCTCCTTCCGCTGACCCCCCTTCTCCTTCCGCTGACCCCCCTTCTCCTTCCGCTGACCCCTCTTCTCCTTCCACTGACCCCCCTTCTCCTCCTGCTGACCCCCCTTCTCCTTCCACTGACCCCTCTTCTCCTTCTGCTGACCCCCCTTCTCCTTCCACTGACCCCCCTTCTCCTTCCGCTGACCCCTCTTCTCCTTCCGCTGACCCCTCTTCTCCTTCCACTGACCCCCTTCTCCTTCCGCTGACCCCCTTCTTCTCCTGCTGTTTTTAAACCCCCTTCGTTCACCAGGCTCGCTGACGGCAAGGTGGTGGACAGGAGGGTGTTTCGCGACGACTATATAAACCTCACCCACAACGGAGGGGCGTTTCTGTACGAGGACCTGCTCTCTGTCCTCAGCATTCGCTTCCAGCGGATCCACCTCTTCCAGGTACGAGGTCCTCTCTCTCTGTACCAGGATCCGCCTCTTCCGCCTCTTCCGCTTACGTCCCCCTCCCCCCTCTAGAAGTGCGATGATGGTGAGTTGGTGCTGCAGTCCCTTTGCAAGACGAGTGACGCTTTCAGCTACCCTTCCCCTCCTCCCTCCCCCCCCCCCTTCCTTCCCTCCCGTCTCTCTTACCTGTTACCCCTGCGCCTGTCCCTCTGTCCTTCACCTCAGATTGTCGAGGCAGCGGAGGGGTTTGTGGATGTGCAAGTGATCGGCCCCTATGGGTGTGACGGCGATGACGATGCCTCTTCTGTGCCTCGTTCTCTCCTCACCTCCTCTCCCTTACCTGTTGCCGCTGCGTCTGTTCCTTTGTCCTTCACCACAGATTGTTGAGGCAGCGGAGAGGTTTGTGGACGTGCAGGTGATAGGCCCGTACGGGTGTGACGACGATGAGCTCGTGCTACAGTCGCACTTTCAAGAAGAATGGCGCTTCCAGCGGCACTTAGCTGAACTGCGGAGGAGACAGGCCCTCGGAGGTGGGGGTGGGGGGGATGGTGATGGTGGTGGTGAGAGTAGTAGGGGTGGCGGGGAGGGGAACATTGAGGGGGGAGTGGAGTATACAGAGGCGGAGGAGGACGAGGAGAAAGAGGGGGAGGAGGGGGAGGAGGGGGGACAGGAGGGGAGGGATGGAGAGGAGGGGGAAGGGGATTGGATGGCCGGGAGGCAGAGAGGGGAGAGGGGAGGCAGGGAGGGTTGAGTGCAGGAGGAGAAGGGGAGGGGGGAAGAGGATGGGTGATGATGCTAGGGGGCTGGATGGAAGGTGTAATGAAGGGGGAACGACAGCACAGGGGAGGAAGGTGGGGGAAGGTGGTGAGGAGGGAGGAGAGGGCAGAGGGGTGGAGACAGCAGAAAAGAAGGACGAGAAGGGAGGGAGGGGCGAAGGGGATGGTTCAGGGAGGAGCCCTGTGGAAGGGTTGGGGAAGGGGGTGGTAGGGGCAGGGCTTGATGAGGGGAATGAGGGGGGAAGCGGTGAGGGGAGTGAGCGAAATAGCAGCGAGGGGAGTGAGAGGAGGGGTTTTCGAAGGCTGGAAGGGTTTAGGGATGAAGGGAGGGAAGGACACGGGGTGAAGAGGCCGAGAGTTGGCTTGGGAAGTGTGAGAGAGGAGGGGGGAGATGGATTCGTGGGAGGAGGAGGAGGGGGAGTGGGAGGAAGGGGAGGAGGGGGGGATGGGGGAGGAGAGGCAGAAGGGGCGACGACTGGGGAGGGTGGAGAAGGAGGGGAGGAGGCGGGAGGAAGAAGCAGCAAGGCAAGGGATGGGCGAGAAGAGAAGAGAGGAGCACGAGACGAGGGAAAGAGGGAGGGAGGCAGGGGAGGAGGAAGAGAAGGAGGTGGGGCAGGGAGGGTCGGAGGGATTGCAATGTATGAGAGGAGGTACGGGGGACAGGATGGGAGCCTGCTAGCGCCAGGGGTGCGGACGAGTATGGGCCCTCCGCATGGGGGAGGGGGAAGAGGAGCAAGAAGAGAGGGAGGAGGAGAAGGAGGAGGAGGAGGGGGGGGCGAGGGAAGAGCAGCGGCAGGGGCCGGGGCAGGAGGGACGGGAGGGGTGGGGGGGACGGGTGGGGATCTATGGATGCAAGGGGGGGCGGCGAGCAGGAGTTTAACCATGTCGACCTTTGGGTCGAGTCTCTTCAGTCTGTCGTATGGTCCCGATGGGCGTGCTTCCCTGCAATCCCAGTCACACACTCACACCCACTCACCCACTCAGTCCCACACTCACTCACAGTCACAGCCACAGTCCCACTCACAATCTCACTCACACTCGCATGCTCACTCTCAGTCTCATTCCCATGCCCACTCACACCCTCACTCGCACTCTCGCTCGCAAGAGGTGAGAAGGCGTGGGGGACTGGGGGGGCAGGAGCAGGAGGCAGGGGAGTTGGGGGAGCATCCGCAGCAGCAGCAGCTGGAGCTGGTGGCTTCCCTTATCTCTTTGGAGCAGCAGGGCGGGTTGGGGGGAGGGGAAACGGGGAGGGGGAGAGGGGGAGAGAGTGGCAGACTGCTTGGGTCTCGGGTGGTTGGGGAGGGGAGGGAGAGAGGGATGGGCGGTGGGGGGGGCAACATAAGAGAGAGGGCGTCATCTCACAGGGATAGGGCCAGCAGAAGAAGACGCAGCAGGGAGGCGGCGGCGGGCGGCGGCGGCGGGGCCGCGATGTATGTTGTTAGCGACCGTGCGAATGTGGAAGAAATCACGAGGCAGCAGCTGAGGGGAGGTGTGGTTGGGCGAAGTGGTGAAGGGGCGGAGGCAGGGGGAGCGGGAGGGGGAGGGGGAGTAGCGGTAGGAGCAGCAGGATCAGGTAGGCGAGGGATAAGTGAGGATGGTGCATGGCCAGCAGAATCTGGTGGACAGGGCAGCGTGGGGTATGGGCAGGGGGGGCATGGGCATTGGCATGGGAATGGTTTGGACGGTGGAAGAGCAGATAGCACCGGCGGTGCTGTGGGTGCGTCTGGTGGTGGTGCTGGTGTCTCTGCTTCCCTGCCTGGGTACGGCGTTGGAAGGGAAGCAGGAGGAGCAGGAGGAGGAGGAGCAAGGGGAGCAGGGGGCGCAGGGGGCGCAGGGGGCGCAGGGGGCGCAGGGGGGGGAGGAGGAGCGGGGGAAACAGGGGGAGGAGCAGTGAGCATTGGCGTAGAGGGGGCGCGGGGAACAGTGGGGGAACAGTGGGGGGAGCAGCAGCACAAGGGCATGCGGGCACAGGGGCAAGAGAAGCAGGCGGGAGAGGGGCGACAGGGGGAGCAGCAGGGGGGGAGGGGCGACAGGGGGAGCAGCAGGGGGGGGAGGGGGGACAGCAGGGAGCGGGCAGGGGACAACAGCCATTGGAGGTGCGACCAGGGGTGGGGGAGGGGGTGGGGGAGGGGGTGGGGGAGGGGAGGGCGGTTGGGGTGATGGAAGGTGGATGCTGGGGGGTGGAGGGGAGGAGATGGGGGGAAGGGGGATGGTGGACGTGGGGGTTGGAGGCGGCCTGCTGAGCGGTGGGGGGTTGCTGAGTGTGTTGATGCAACGACTGCTGGTTCACGTGTTCGAGTGCCACCAGGGAGAGGGGGTGGGCTTGGGGGCACACCCACTGACCCAGCAGCAGCCGCAGCAGCAGCAGCAGCAGCAGCAGCAGCTTGAGAGGAGTCATTTGCCCCAGGGAATGCCAGAAAGCCGCAGAGGAGGAGGGGGAGGAGGGGGAGCAGGAAGCCAGAGAGTAAAGAGATTTCTGTACCACTTTCAGCACTATGCTGATCTAATCATCTGGAAGGTATGTGTTCGTAATGCCTGCCTTCCCTTGCCTGGCCTCCCTTGCCTGGCCTCCCTGGCGTGACCCCTCTTGACCCCTCTTGACCCCTCTCCTCTCCCGCCCCTGACGGCATTCCTGTACCACTCTCAGCACTACGCGGATCTGAACGTCCGGAAGGTACGTGCTTGCTTTTGAGTCGACTCAAAAGCGTCTGGAAGGTACGTGTTTGAGTCAACTCGACAGAAGATATGATCATCTCGACAGTATGCATGGACGTCTCGCTGTACCGACATTCCTATACCACTTTCAGCACTATGCTCTTGTATCCATATGAATTTTTGAGTCGACTCAAAATTCAACTGTAACCATATCTCTCGCCCCGTCATACCCTCACCTGTCCCACACTCTCACCTGCTCACCTCACCTCTTGTCCTCGCCTGTCCCACACTCTCACCGCTGCCACCTGCTCATCCGCCTGGGCACCACAAAGGGGGTGGTGCTCCGGCCGCCATGATGCTGCGCCACGGGCTCAACCTGCCACGCGGCGCTGGTTTTGAGGTGCCTAGTTTTGAGGCGCCTCAAAACATGATGCTGCGCCACGGGCTCAACCTGCCACGCAGCGCTGACCTGCTGGAGGCTGCCGTCATGAGCGCCCTCACCTCACCTCTTGTCCTCACCTGTCCCACACTCTCACCGCTGCCACCTGCTCATCCGCCTGGGCAACACAGAGGGGGTGGTGCTCCGATTGTCCAACATAGGGTCCTTACTGACTGGTCCGCTGGACCACCGACTGGTCCAACGGTCCACTGACTGGTCCGCTGGACCACTGACAGGTCTGCCGGACCATCGATCGGTCCGGTGGTCCACTGACTGGTCCGCCGGTCAACTGACTGGTCCGCCGGTCAACTGACTGGTCCGCCGGTCAACTGACTGGTCCGCCGGTCAACTGACTGGTCCGCAGGACCACTGACTGGTCCGCCGGTCAACTGACTGGTCCGCCGGTCAACTGACTGGTCCGCCGGTCTGACTGACTCTTCCGCCGGTCAACTGACTGGTTCGAGCGTCTATCTTTCCTTCACCCCTCTCCTCCAACCAGGCTCAGCCTTTTGGACTGCTGCCACCTGCTGATCCGCCTGGGCAGCACGGAGGGGGTGGTGCTCTCCCTCCTATCCCCCTTACCCCTTTCCCCTTATCCCTGTGGCTATGGCTATGGCAGCACGGAGGGGGTGGTGCTATGCTATCTCTTTGCTGGTGTGCTCACCCTCCTGTCTTTCAACCCTTCTGTCTGTCACCACTCCTCTCATTGCAGGCTCAGTTGCTGGATCGCTGCCACCTGCTCATCCGCCTGGGCAGCACGGAGGGGGTGGTGCTCCGAGCGTCTGACAGCTCCCACCAGAACTCCTTCTTCACTGTCTACAACTTCGTCACCACGCGAGTGCTCTGCTTCTACCAGGTGATTGTTACATCAGGTGCCTTGGTTTTTCTTTGTGTGCTGCTCTGAGGTACCTTGGTCCTTGTGTGGTGCTATTGAGTCGACTCAAAAGGTAACATAGTGAGCTTGACAGCTCCCACCAGAACTCCTTCTTCACTGTCTACAACTTCGTCACCACGCGAGCGCTCTGCTTCTATCAGGTGCCTTGCTTATGCCTCTCAGCCTATCAGGTGCCTTGCTTATCCCTCTCAGCCTATCAGGTACCTTGCTTAGGCCTCTCAGCCCATCAGGTGCCTACTGGGTAGTTCTTGGCGTTGTGCTGCAGAACTCCACGAAGGATCTCTTTCTGCGCTCGAGCATTTCTGCGACCATTCCGGCTTTGAGGCGCCTCAAAAATAGACTCCTCACGCATTCCCACTTGGCCCCCCCGCAAAAGACAGCTCTCCTGTGTGATACAAGTGTGGTTTAGCTTTGATGCGTCTCAAAACCACATTTCTTCCGCATAGCTGCTAGTTGCTCCTCATTCTCAGCCTGGCTCACACAGCACGTTGCCTGCATTTGCTCCTCATTCGCCTTCTGCAGAACTGCTCCGAGGACTTCCTCTCTGCATTCGAGCATTTCTGCGACCACTTCCGCGCCCCCCTGCGCTCCCCGTCCCTCTTGAGCTTGAATTAGACCTCTCGTGAACTTGGAACTGACGCTGTTCCGTTGGCTCTTCCTCGCCTTTCCTCGCCCTCCCATTGCAGAACTCCTCCGAGGATTTTCTCTCTGCATTTGAGCATTTCTGCGACCATTTCCGGGCCCCGCCGCGCTCCCCAGCGCTGTTCTCATACATCAGCAGCTGCTCCAATAACGTGTTTGCAAGAGAGGCGTTCAAGAAGCAGAAGGCGGCTCTGGTGACGTGCAAGGGGGGGTCGCAGACACAGGTGCGCAACAACCAATCAGCAACCAGCAGTGAGCAGTGAGAAGTGAACTATCAGGTATGACAGCTCTGCAACAAGCATTACAAGTCTATTTTTGAGGCGCCTAAAAAATAGACGGCTCTGCAACAAGCATTCAGCAACCAGCAGTGAGAAGTGAACAATCAGGTATGACAGCAACGCGCTCCCCAGCGCTGTTCTCGTACATCAGCAGCTGCTCCAACCACGTGTTTGCAAGAGAGGCATTCAAGAAGCAAGAAGTTGCGTTAGTGACGTGCAAGGGCGGTCTCAGACACAGGTTAGCAATCAGCAGAAAGAAGCAGAAGGCTGCTCTGGTGACGTCCAAGAGAGGGTCTCAGACACAGGTGGAACTTTTATAACACCTGTTAAAACACCTGTTCTGCGCTCCCTGTGCAGTGTTGACAGACAATGCCCTGTCAGCCAGCCAAGTCTGCTTTTGAGTCGACTTAAAAGCACACGTGAAACTTTTATCACTATCATAACACCTGTTCTGCGCTGCCTGTGCGGTGATGACAATGCCCTGTCAGCCAGCCAAGGTTGTCACTGGAAGGTTATCTCAAATTCACACCACAGGCTAAGTCCGCTGTCTCTTTCTGACGTAATATGTGTCGGTTTGTGCTGTTTCAGGCAATCAAACGCATGCTTGCCGGGCTGCCCTACAGTGCGCAGACGTACTCCCCATCGCCGTACTTTGATCAGTCGCTCTTCCACTTCGATGAGAAGGTGAGGGCTTGTTGGATTACCCCTTCACTTATAAATCTCTACGCCGCTGCAGCTCAGCCGCACTCCCCATCGCCGTACTTTGATCAGTCGATCTTCCACTTCGATGAGAAGGTGAGGGCTTGTTGGATTACCCCTTCACTTATAAATCTCTACGCCGCTGCAGCTCAGCCGCACTCCCCATCGCCGTACTTTGATCAGTCGCTCTTCCACTTCGATGAGAAGGTGAGGCTTGTTGGATTACCCCTTCACTTATAAATCTCTACGCCGCTGCAGCTCAGCCGCACTCCCCATCGCCGTACTTTGATCAGTCGCTCTTCCACTTCGATGAGAAGGTGAGGCTTGTTGGATTACCCCTTCACTTATAAATCTCTACGCCGCTGCAGCTCAGCCGCACTCCCCATCGCCGTACTTTGATCAGTCGATCTTCCACTTCGATGAGAAGATGAGGGCTTGTTGGATTACCCCTTCACTTATAAATCTCTACGCTGCTGCAGCTCAGCCGCACTCCCCATCGCCGTACTTTGATCAGTCACTCTTCCACTTCGATGAGAAGGTGAGGGCTTTTTGGATTACCCCTTCACTTATAAATCTCTACACCGCTGCAGCTCAGCCGCACTCCCCATCGCCGTACTTTGATCAGTCGATCTTCCACTTCGATGAGAAGGTGAGGGCTTGTTGGATTACCCCTTCACTTATAAATCTCTACGCCGCTGCAGCTCAGCCGCACTCCCCATCGCCGTACTTTGATCAGTCGCTCTTCCACTTCGATGAGAAGGTGAGGGCTTGTTGGATTACCCCTTCACTTATAAATCTCTACGCCGCTGCAGCTCAGCCGCACTCCCCATCGCCGTACTTTGATCAGTCTTTCTTCCACTTAAATGAGTAGGTGAGGAGAGCATTAGGGTTCTTAAATCTTCTACTGACTGGCCTGTTTTGTTCTCATTTGTAGCCCTTCCATTACCCACCTTGTCAACCGTGCCATATCTTTCCTAATCTTGTCCGCACAGCTCATCTCGGCATCGGACCGGCACAAGCCTTGTGTGGAGCACCCAATCAAATTCATTCTGCGGCGCCGGCCCAACGTGCTCAAATTCAAGATCAATCCAGGTATTGTGCCAAGCCAGCCAGCCGTCCTGCAGTTTCAGGTGGGCTTATATTAGACATGACGAGCTTCACCAGATTATGGTACATGCTGCCTTTTTCTCCTCAGGCCATGCTTCTGGTTAGGGTTCCATGTACTAGCCAGGTTGTTTGGCCACGTCCTCTCCCCGTCTAATATCTACATGGAGATCTGTTGATGTGCTAACCTTGTGCAGGTTTGGAGTCGGCTAATCCGGATGCACGGATAAAGAGAGTGGCAACATACGCCTTCCACCCATTCCTTCCGTTTGCCATTTCTGTTCAGCAGACATTTATGCAGCCTTCAGTTGTAAACTTCCATTTTCGAAAGTGAAGCTTGTGTGCATTTTCTAATGCAATTACCACCTGTAGGAGATGATCTTGCAAGGTTAGCTAGCAAATAACTATGACATCAGCAATACAAACCATTACAAATTGAGTGCAGACTTGCACTTGGTACAAGTCAGGGAACTTCCTAGATATATAATTAGACCCTGCTGCATGTGGCGGACAATGCATATGCAAAGCCCGGGTTGAGCTTACTGCATCCTGCAACAGCAAAACAATAAATTAGGTCCGCTTGCGCCAAATCGTATGACCCTTATTGATTTCTTTCTTGCTGTCCTGGAGCCGCAGGACATGCGAGTAATGCTGAAGCTCCTCTGGCCGCTCTCTCTCCACTAGCGTCAGCAAGCAGACGCCTTTCGACTCAGCCGAGTCTTTAGACAACAGGACCCCGTCCGTTGTGGTGCATTGTTTAATGGCCTCTGCCTTGGCAGCCGGGGCTGTCTGGCTGGCTAGGGTCTCCACCATGTCGTTCTGGCTGCATTCCCGCCGGTACTCAATGCTTATTTGAGCCAGCTCTGAACTATCCACCAGATCCTGGGGCAAGCTCTATTGGAGGGAATGATGGGTTCAACAATGTGGGGATGGGGGGGGATAGGAGGGAAGGGAAAGATAGAAGGGGGAGCGTGTGTGAAGTTGGGGATTGGGAGGAGTGGGGGAAAGAGTGGCAAGGGAAGGAGGGGGGGAAGCGTGTTTAGAAGCGGACTAAGTGCGGGAGAAAGGAAGTACAACGGGGAGGTGCTAGAATAATCACATGATTAATGTGAAGTGCCATGCAGCTGCGCTGACTAGACATAGCATATTGAGGGAGGTCACAGCCATCAACTTACTTCGAGCATCCATGCAATATAAGTCACATTGTTGACATGCTGATTCATGTCCAGGTCACTTCTTCTGGCCTGCAATAATCAGCGCCAGCAAAAATGCCATTTACGAAACAACACGAGAGAGGACTCGAAGATACACTGTTCCGCCATTTGAAGGGAAAGTGGGAAGATAGACAAAAACAGCGTTGGTACAAACACAACAGTGTTGAGATTATAGGAACTGCGACATTGACACATTCAGTGTTGCAAACAGCAGCGGAAACTCAGCAAGGCACTCACACAAAGACTCGATTTCGAATGGTCAGCCGGCTCTTTAAGCTTCGACAACTTGTCCACCGCGTCCGGGGGAAGAGCAAAGCTGCTCAAAGGGAGAATGGCAGAAACTTTCGAACTCACTTCAGAATTTCCGTCAACACGTAAAACCAGAGATTCATTCTGGCAAAGTGACATATGGAAGACACTTACAGGGAAGGCTCAGGGCAATGGGAAATGATTTCCTCCCACACATCAGGTGGAATTCGAGCCAAACGACGCGTGTTGGAATTCATCATCACCCAGGAGCTGCACAGCGAGTTAATGGACGGATTAGATTAATATAAACGGAAAACCAGCAGGACTGTGCATACCAAGTAGGGATGATTCTCACCTGGTGCCTCGACCAATAACTTCCCCCGAATTTGACAGCCGAATGATCCAGTCTCGCCGTGTCAATATGTTCGACTCTAGCTGACACCACGTGTCGATCTCAACAACGTCCCCCCTGTTTTCAAATGCGAGGGAACGGTGAGTATTCACATGAACATCCAAAATGCACCATGAGGCACAAAATGCTACTAGACATATGGGTTGCACGCAGACTTACCAGGTAGGATACTTGTACATCTCGATGTGAATCCGTGTTGTTGCCCAGATTAGACTGTGTCTCTTCATGCCTGGTGTGGTGGCCAAGCCGTCCTTCGAGTATCCTACGCTGTGAGCATGGTTGGTCCCCACCTCCTGATAAGGAGAGCATGTACAGTTTGTTAACAACCTTACAGAACCCCAATACGAGCTTCATAGGATGAGATCTGCCTATAATTGAGGGTCCGGACCTTTTTACCTGCAATAAATTGGCGATGGTCTCTATCGACGCGGTCTTATGAACGCCAACTTCGTAACACCTGATGACGAATCTCTCTCGGTAGACACTCCCTCCTTCAAGCAGCGCGCCGAGCTGCTCGGACCCTCCCTCCGTCCAGATCAACCCTTCATCGACGCCGGGTACATTGAATGAAGACGCGTGCTCTTGGATCGGTGACGAGGGACGGCCAGCTATGGCGCCACTCTCTGACTGGAGTAACGCGGCTTTGGCGCTAATCGCCGATGTGCTGCTCTTTATCGAGGATGTGTTGCCCTTCTCCAGAGAAGTTACAATAGGAGAGGAACTGCCAGTGATCACTGCAGCGACAGACAAAGGGCCGTTCTGATCTCGCTGCGAGTAGATCCGCGCTCTCCCAAACAGTGGTTGAGGTTGCGAGGCGATCGGCCGGGAGAGCGTTCCTACGAGTTCCATTTCTGTGGATGAATCGGATCGGCAAAAAGGGGCCGACGTTGATTGGTCAACAAGATTAGGTCGTGAGCACACTGATCAGGCCAGGAGACGTTCAGCAAAGACTGTGGGGAAAAGTAAACCAGGAAACGCTGCAATCCGAAGTCGACAAGCAACTCAATTCGCGCTTGAGTCGCGCTCTGACTGCTTTATCAGGCTCTGCTCCACCTGGTTTGTCAGAAACTAAGCTGTGCAATGGCAGCCATTATGCTCTTCAAGGAATCGTGAAGCAGACTTGCTTGCTGGACTGAACGAAGCAAATGAGAAGGGAGATCACAGAGCAACCAGAATGCACCGTATCAGCAGTATCCAATCGCAGCCGTCCATTTGACAAGGACATGCCGTAGGCCGGTTACTGAAGGAGAATGGCTCGCAGGTGGTGGTGGTGGTCCAGGGGCGCTTGCGGCGACCAGACCAGACCAGGCCTGGAGCTGCGGAATCCAGACCTAGGGAGGTACGGAGTGGATCAAACGAAGCGGTGGTGGAGCGCCCCTTGAGATTCCCAGGCAGCCACAAAACACAAAACATCCCCTAGATTTCAGCGACTGCTGGGCTGGGCTGGCTTTGTTCAAATATCGAGGGAGATAGCGGCGGTGGATCCACGTGTGAGTGCTCTTTCTCCGCAATCTTCTGCATCTGGGTCGACAGCTTCCACACGTTTCCCTGCTCACTGTACATCTCCAGCCAATCACGTGCTCTCAAGTGGCTGAGTTGTCTCGTAAGCTTGTCTCGGTTTGGTCACAGCGTTCTTAACCGCTATGGCGCCTTCTACGTAAGCATAGTGTACTTCCAAGCTCGTGTAAGCTATACTGTAAAAGCTACAACAATGAGCCATATGTAGAGTGACCCGCTAGGGTTTACCCTTGAGAAGATCCTCGGGGAAGGGCCACAGGTGCAGAGACTGGGGGGCTATGGGCGCATTGACCCGCTATTAACAAGCCTTTTTAACTCAGTGGTTAGTGGCTGAGGTCTGACACCTTATTGATATTCATTCGTCTATCTTCCAAGAAACAGGGTGCTGCCATGTAAGCTACTGACTGAAACCCTAAAACGATTCCACAAGTTATACCCACAAGTTCATCGCCCAAACATCGTAGTATATCCATTCCTAACACCCCGCACAAAAACAAGTCTCACCCAATTCTGACACTACGACTGATGCTGGACCGAATACCAGTAGATTCACCACCATAGGGCGCAGTTTCGCGCTTGACATCACGCACCTGGCCCTTCCGACGGACCACAGCATTGGCATGCTTGAGCTGCGAGATTTCGCCAGGAAAGCGAGAGCAGAGGAAGTGAGGTTGGAGCATGATGGATTTGAGCACATAACAAACAGCGCTTTTCGAAAGAGGACGGCGGGAGAGAGGGGGGAGGATGGGGCCTGATAGCTGGCGCTCAGACAGTGCTGCAACGGAATTCGCATCCATACCTTGTACTTCTTGCGTGGATTTTTGACTGCCTTGTTGCGGTGCGCCATCAAGCCCCGATTCCTCTCAATCTGACGCACAGGGAGTGATAGGTGGAGGGGGGGGAGGGGGGATGGATGGAGTCACACAAGGGAGGCCATTTTTTGAGCGCCTCAAGAGTCGCATTGAGAGGATTCTTGACTGCCTTGTTCCAGTGCACCATCAAGCCCCGATTCCTCTCAATCTGACGCACAGGGAGAGATCAGTAGGGGTGCAGGAGGGAGAACGAATGTGGTGACGTAAGGGAAAGGAAACACCAGAGTGGAAGGATGAGTGGTGTTGGTAATACATAACTATGTGAGTGAGGGTGATTCTTCTAGCCTCAAAGCGCATTGCCTCCAAAAGTACCAACACAGTGACTTGGCTACACAAATCTACCTCCAGGAGTGCCTACACTGTTACTTAGTGTTAGTTACCAAAATCTACCTCCAAGAGTCCCTACACTGTTACTTAGTGTTAATTACAAAAAACCACCTCCAAGAGTACCTACAGTGTTACTTAGTGTTAGTTGCACAAACTTACCTCCAAGACTACCTGCACTGTTAGTTACACAAACCAACTTGGAGTTATGCTTCACGTACCTGTGTGGTAATCTGCCGCCTGCCATCTTCGTCAACAGAAGGCTCTGCCTCGGGAATGAGCCCAGAGCTGCAGCACACACAGAGGGACACATGGGAGAGCAAGGGGCAGGAACATTCAGAGAGGGATTGTGGGCAGGGGGCGGGCAGGGGGCAGACAGCGCTCGTGATTTGTTGCATCGCATGCCATCTTCGTCAGCGCTGCAGCATACACAGGGGGGGGGCACGTGGAAACACAAGGGGCAGGAACATTGAGAGAGATTCTGGGCAGGGGGCAGACAGCGCACGTGATTTGAGGCGCCTCAAAAGTGAGGAGTCTATTTTTTAGGTGCCTCAAAAATAGTGGGCTGTGGGCAGACAGCGCTCGTGATTTGTTGCATCGCATCCCATCTTCGTCAGCGGAAGGCTTAGCTTCCGGAATGAGCCCAGCGCTGCAGGACACACAGGGGGGGGCACATGGGAACACAAGGGGCGGGAATCTTCATAAGGGATGAGACAGTGAGCAGTTGGCAGGCAGACATGGGCAGTGATTTTCCTTCCGCCTGCCATCTTCGTCAACAGAAAGCTCGGCCTTTAGGAATGCGCCCAGAGCTGGAGCAGACACACAGGGGGGGCATGCCGGCAGGCAGGCAGGGGCAGGAATATTCAGAGGCAGGGACACATGAAGGGACGAGACAGTGAGCAGTTGGCAGACAGAAGTCTATCGGGGTAGGCACAGGAGGAAACAGGTTCCCCCGGGGGGGGGGGGGGAGGGGGGGGGTGGGGGGGGGGAGATGAAGGGAGCAGCGTTAAGAGAGCAGAAAGCGGGACAGAGAAACTGACTATCCACTTCGTTTCCATGGCAATCAACCCACAAACTGGACGAGAAAGAAAAGAAATGAAAAAAAAAGGTGAGGAAAATCCGGCAGTACAGCCGAAAAAGGGGGGAAAAAGACAGCACTGCAAAACGAAAAGGAGAAAGGCAGCAGAACATGAGGGAAGTAAGACCCACGAGGAGTATTTCGCAGCCTTGGCCGACTTCCGGGCCTCCTGCATCCTCCGAGCCTCAGCGTAAAACTCATCCTCCTCCCCTCCCTCTCCCCCCCCATCCTCATCATCCCCTTGGTCAAACCCTAGGTCCTCCGAGCCCCGCTTCCGAACCTGCTTCGCCACCACGCCTGCCTCGTAGGCTCGTCGGCGCTCGCCCAAGTCCGGCTTCAGGGGAATATCAGCATCCCCAGATATCACCTGAGGAAGAGGAGGGGGCAGGATATAGAAGAAGGATACGGAGTCAGGTGATGTGTGGGTGAAGGAATAGGAAACAATACTTAAAGCAAATACAAGTTACAAGTCGCATTACCTTAGCCCGTGCCCTACAAGAGGGCATTTTGCCACAGCAGCAACAGCTGAAGCATTCACAAGTCGCTGTACCTTAGCTTTTGACTTAGCTTTAGAGAAAGCATCTTGCCAGCCTCGTGAATCGCCTCAGACAGCTTGCGCGGGCGAAGCAGAGAGTCCAGAGATAGACCCTCCCCCAGCTGCCCCTGGTGCTGGTAACACCCACCTTAGCCTGTGCCCTAAGGGAGGGCATCTTGCCAGCTTCGTGAATCGCCTCGGACAGCTTGCGTGGGCGAAGCAGAGAGTCCAGCAGGCCCGCGACTTGGGCGCTCGACCCTCCCCCTGCTGCTGCTCCTGCAACAGCGTCGCCAGCCTGTGCTCCCCCCTCCTCCCCTGCTGCCATAATGCCAGCAATATCATCGTCAAAGTCATCCAGCATGCCCGCAAGCCTGGTGGGAGAGGGGTGGGTGGTGAGACAGGGAGGTGGCAGTGGAATGAGCGATGGGTTTATCAACAGCCGCCCTCCTCCCCTGCTGCCGTGATGCCGGCGATATCATCGTCAAACTCATCCAGCATGCCCGCAAGCCTGGTGGGAGACTCAAAAGTCACGGCGATATCATCGTCAAAGTCATCCAGCAAGCCCCCAAGCCTGTATGAAAAAGGGGAATCGGGGAGATCAGTAGGTGGGGCAGGTGGGGAGGCAGTCAGGTGGGGAGACAGGCAGGTGGGGAGGCAGGCAGGTGGGGAGACAGGCAGGTGGGGAGGTAGGCAGGTGGCAGTGCAATGAGCACTGAGCAACGCGGGCTTATAAACAGCTCCCCCCTTCTCCCCTGCTGCCACGAAGGTGACTTTTGAGTCGACTCAAAAGGTCACTTTTTGAGTCGACTCAAAAGTCAACGCGCGCTTATAAACAGCTCCCCCCTTCTCCCCTGCTGCCACAGTACCCAGTAATGTCATCGTCAAACCCATCCAGCATACCCGCAAGCCTGCCATGGCGTCCAATCGCTCTCCCTTCCCCATCTACCCCATTCACAACTCACATGTCCTGGCTCCTCTTAAAAGCCTTCAGCCGCTGTTTCTACCCGCAGTTCAGCCGCACGCGGGAGAACATCCTCTCCTCAGCAGCAGCTCTCTCCCTCAGCTCCTCCACCTCACTCCACCTCACTCCACCTCACTCCACCTCACTCCACCACACTCCACCTCACTCCAACTCACCCCACCTCACTCCAACTCACCCCACCTCATTCCACCTGACTCCTGTATGTCTGCTCAATTCAACACTCACATGTTCTGGCTCCTCTTGAGCGCTTTCAGCCGCTGCTTCTCCCCGCGGTTCAGCGGCACACGAGAGAACATCCTCTCCTCAGCAGCCGCCCTCTCCCTCAGCCGCTCCACTTCCCTCTCCATCTCCTTGCCCTCCACCATCATTGTCGACGCGCCCTCCACCCGCATCTGTGTGTGGAGGGGTACGAGGGGGGAGGGGTGAAGAGGAGTGCAAAGCGGTTCATTGATTGTCAACTCTCCCTCAGCCGCTCCACTTCCCTCTCCATCTCCTTGCCCTCCACCATCATCGTCGACGCGCCCTCCACTCGCATCTGGTCATCGCGCCCTCGACCATCATCTAGCTGGCTCCACGAAGGACATCTCACCTCGCATGGCCGTCCCTCCAGGTCTGCAGCCAATTCCTTCACAAACGCGCCCCTGGCCGCTCTCCTCTCCCTCTCCCTTCCCTGCCGCACTCGAAACAGTGGTGTGCAAACCCACTCACCTCTCGAGGCCGCCCCTCCACGTCTTCAGCCAGTTCCTTCACAAACGCGCTCCTCGCTGCCCGCCGCCTCGCCTCCCTCATCTCCCGCTCCTCCCTCCTCCCCCCCACCTCCCCGCCCTTCTTCCCTACGTAACCCCATTCGTGAGGACTCTATTCTTGAGGCGCCTAAAAAATAAACACCTTCTTCCCTGCGTAGCCCCACTCGAGACAAGGGCATAGAACCACACTCACCTCGCGCGGCCGCCCCTCCACGTTTTCAGCCAATTCCTTCACAAACGCGCTCCTGGCCGCCCGCCGCCGCCGCGCCTCCCTCATCTCCCTCTCCTCCCTCCTCCCCCCACCACCTCCCCGCCCTTCTTCCCTGCCCCAGTCAAGACAAGGGCGTACAACACCTCTCCAGCAGAGAACTACACTCACCTCACGCGGCCGTCCTTCCACATCTTCAGCTAGTTCCTTCACAAAAGCGCTCCTGGCCGCCCTCCGCCTCGCCTCCCTCACCTCCCGCTCCTCCCTCCTCCCCCCCACCTCCCCGCCCTTCTTCCCGCCCTCTGCCTCCCCATCCATCGCCATAGGCGCGATCTTCGGCGGCTTATACACCCCGCCACCAGCACCACCAGCACCATCCGCACCAGCAGCAGCAGCAGCAGCAATGCCCTATCCTCTCCCCCACCAACCCCACCACCAATGCCACCGCCAGCACCTCCGAGCTTAGACACCAGGAGGTTGGGGTTCGGACGGTGTCTCAGATCATCCAACGACCCTCCCGCCCCGGCCTCGCCCGCCCCTCCTGCTCCTGCTGCAGTTGCTGCTGCCGAGCCAGATGGCGCGCTGCGATTGGCCGATGAGGCCAGCTTGAGAAGCTTCTCGATCTGGTACTGAAGCTTCTTGTCGATGGGGCGGATCTGGTGGAGAGGCGGTGGGGGGAGGGATGGGGTGGGGTGGGGTGGGTGGGGTGGGGTGGGGGACATGGGGAGAAGGGTATGGGAGAAGGGGGACAACAAGCAGCTTCTTGATCTGGTACTGTGGCCTCTTGTCTATAGGGCGGCCCCTCGCAGGCTTGTCTTGCGCTGTAAGCAGCAGAAGAAAGAGCAGGCAGCAGCAGCAGCAGTGCAGCAGCAACTCAGACTTACCAGAAATGGCAAGCCTTACCGTTTCTAGAAATAGCCTGAGTTCGACCAGGCATGAGACCACCGGGTGGTCCCTCACTGGCTTGCCTTCCGCCCTGAGCCCTAATCCCCATACCCTGAACCCTAACCTGCAAGCCTTACCTTTTCCAAAAAGAGCCTGAGTTCCACGAGTCGTGAGACCACAGGATGGTCCCTCACTGGCTTGCCTCCGCCCTGAGAAGCAGGAAGAAGAGCAGGCAGCAGCAGTAGTGCAGCAGCAGACCGTGCTTCGCCTCCAGGTAGGATACTCCGTTCTCCGTTGCGTACTCCCCCTCCCGCACCTGTGCAATCAAGAGGGGGGGGGGGGGGGGGAGGGCCAGGGACGGGGGTACAACCAGGGGATAGGTTTAGCAGCAGGAAGAAGAGCAGGCAGCAGCAGTAGAGCAGCAGCAGCCCGTGCATGGCCTCCAATCCAAGTATGATACCCCATTCTCTCTTGCGTACTTCCCTTCCCCAACCTGTGGGTTTCGAGAAGCAATGCAGGGAAAATGGGGAGAAAGGGGGTTAACCATAAATGGCTGGGTTAATCAGCAGCAGCTTTGGAGCAGTCGTTTAAGCGCTTAGCAGGTGCCATGTTTACCCTGTACCCACCCCAAAAAGACCCTATACATGCGCCTTAAACCCCCAGCTTCAGCCCCTCACCTGCTGCGGCAGCGGCAGCACCTTGGCGTCGAGCCCCATACCCTCCACCTAAAACCTTAAACCCGTGCCTGTGCCTTTCAACCCGAACCTTAAACCCTAACTACTGCTCCTCACCTGCAGCAGCAGCGGCAGCACTTTGGTGTTGAGCTCCTTGAGGGAGGTCTTGAGGTCAGACAGACTCAAAAAAACTCCACCCAAGACTCGGCATTTCAACCCGAACCTTAAACCCTGACCACACATCACATGTTGCAGCAGTGGCAGCACTTTGGTGTTGAGCCCCGTACCCTCCACCTAAGACCTTAAACCCATGCCTGTGCCTTTCAACCCGAACCTCAAACCCCGACCACTGCTCCTCACCTGCTGCAGCAGCGGCAGCACTTTAGTGTTGAGCTCCTTGAGGGTGGTCTTGAGGTCAGACAGCAGGCCCACCAGCTCAGGGGCATCGCTGCGAGGCGGAGGGGGGAGAGAAAGGGAGCGAGGGGGGAAGGAAGGTGAGCATGAGAGCACGTGCAAGAGGCAGCAGCTGCTGTTGAGCTCCCTGAGGATCGTCATGAGATAGGATAGCAGGCCGACCAGCTCAGGGGCGCCGCTGCAAGTAGAAAAAGGGGGGAGGGGGGGAGCCGGGGGGGAAGAGGAGAAGGGAGGGCGTTCCAGAGGCAAAAGTTTGGTGTTGAGCTTCTAGAGAAGAGGAAGGGGGGAGAAGACCCAAATTACCTCGTGAGTGTCGCCATCTGCTCCTCCTTGCTCAGCAGACTCACGCCCTTCACCACTCGCTCCACCACTGCCGCTTCCCTGCTGCTCCCCTCCCCTAGGGGCAACAGCAGCCTATGCTCACCACAACAGTCCACCCATCTCACCTCATGAGTGCCGCCATCTGCTCCTCTTTAGTTAGCAGACTCACGTCCTTCACCACTCGCTCCACCACTGCCGCCCCCTCCCTTCCTCTCCAATACCTTTCCACTCTCTTATCGCTCCCCTTATCGCCCTCCTTCCCACCTCCTTCCCCAAACTCTTCTTCCCCTCGCCCTTCTCTACTTTATCCATCATCGTCTCTTCCCCTTCTTCCTCTCCTCCTCCTCCTCTTCCTCCTCCTCCCCTCCTCCTCTCCCTCTTCTTCCTCATAATCTTCCACTCTCAACCCAGCAGCTATCTGCTGCTGCAGCCGCAACGCCTCCTCCTCCTCCTCCTGCGCCCTGTCTCCCCTTCCATGTGTAACTGTGTAACGGGATGCGGACGGAGGAAGGGGGGCGGAAGGGGGGGGGAGAGGGGAGGAGGGGGGGGGGGAAGGGGCAAAGAGAAAATAAAATTAGAAATGCTCCAGGCAAGCTCAGCCCAGCAGCCATCTGCTGCTGCGACGCAGAGCCTCCTCCTCCTGCGCTCCTGTCTCCCCATCCATTCGCAACTGTGTAAAAGGAAGGGGAGGGGGAGGGGGGCAGGGGCAAAGAGAAGAAAAAACAGAAATGACAGCCCAGCAGCTATGCTGCTGCATCCGCAACGCCTCCTCCTCCTCCCGCCCCTGTCTCCCCATCCATGTGTAGGGAGGGGGGGGAGGGGAGGGAGGGGGAGGGAGGGGGAGGGGAAATGAGACGGGGCAATAAAACAAAAATCAGCAGTGCTCGAGGCACTCTCAGCCCAGCAGCCATCTGCTGCTGCAGCCGCAACGCCTCCTCCGCCTCCTTCTCCTCCTCCTGCGCCCCTGTCTCCCCATCCATGTGCAACTATGTAACGAGGGGAAACGGTTTTTGAGGCGCCTCAAAAATAGACTGCGTGACGAGGGGAAAGGGGGGGGCAACAATTAAATTAGGGGGGGGGGGAGGGGGAGGAAGGGATATAGGGATATAGGAGGGCGAAAAGACGGCTTCTTCTACGTCAAACTCCATCCCCGTTCAGAGCAGACCGTTAGAAGACACTTACCTCATAGTCCACATTATCCGCGCTGTAGTATTGCCGCTTCTTCTGCCCCCAAAGCGCCCCCTCCCCTTCCTCCTCATCCCCTCGTCCTCCTCCCCCTCGTCCTCCTCATCCTCCTTCACTCCCCCAAGCTTCATCCTCATATACTTGGCTTGCTTCTCCACTGTAGAAAAGCAAAGTAAAACAATAAATATTGAAATGCACATCACTGATAATGTCCGTCCATCCGTCCGTGTTAGATGTGAGCTGCTCAATAACGGGTACGCTTTGGCACATAACTCACTTTTAGAAGCGAGGCCTGATAACTGCATATCCGCCTCCACATCCTCATCGATATCATCATCCGTATGGGGAGCTACTCAATAACGGGTACACACATCATGACTCACTCTTAGCAGCGAGGCCTGATAGCTGCATATCCGCCTCCACATCCTCGTCAAAATCATCATCATCATCAAAACCGTCCTCGTCATCCTCCTCGCTCTCCTCGGCTCCCTGGAAGAGAATGGCGGTGAGGTGAGGGGGATGGGAAAATAGAGGGTGTTGAGAGGAATCATCAAAACCATCAGCATCAGCATAACCATCAGCTTGCTTCTCCACATCCTTGATTTTGCAGGGTGTTTTTGAGGCGCCCAAAAATGCAGGGTGTTTTTTAATTTTCTCAAAAACACTCAGCATATCCGCCTCCACATCCTCGTCATCATCATCATCATCGAAATCATCCTCGTCATCCTCCTCCTCGATATCCTCGGCCCCCTGGAGTTGGAGGGCGGTGGTGGGGGGGGGTGGAATTAGAGAGGGTATGAGAGGAATAAAAAACTACACCAGAAACAGCCAGGAGTACTGGTTGCAAGTGAATGACTAATGGGACCGTTGCGTTAACGTTGGAATTAAATGAGAGATAAACGACTGACCTTGATGTCCATAACAGCCGCATTAAGATCAGCCTCGATATTGTCATCATCCTCCTCGAAATCTGCACCATCGTGAAAGAACGAATCAGTTTTGACGAAAAGAAAGCAACCATCTGGGCCTGACTGCTTCGCCCAAATGGAAAATATAACACAGCAACAGAAACGAACGACGAATGAATGCAAAGCTATAATTGCAAAGAGGAGGTGACGATTTTAACCCTGAGAGTCGACTCACCATCATCCGCGTTAAGAGGAATGATATCCCGTTGCTTGTGAACTGCAGTTAACGAGACAGACGGGTTCGCGCACACGAGAAGGGGAGAGAAGGGGGGGGGGGGATTCGGGTTTGGGAACGAATGGGTTATAATCACAACAGGGTTCGGGGTTCTGTGAGAAATGTAGGTACTAAGGCACGCAACAAAATAAGGAGGCTCAGACGCCATAAGAAGATAGGACGGTAGGAAGCGTATTTTGAGTTCACTCAAACTACACCCGCACGCACAGTCGTCGATCTCGTCCTCAAAGTCTTCACGAGTCAACCCCATGTTCGGATCCCCGCGCGTCCCCTTCCCGCCGCCTCCGCCCTTGCCGAGCCTCCCTCCAACTCCGCCTCCGCTTCCGCCTGCGTCTCCACCTCCCCCGCGCTTCTTTGCGCTTCCGGGACTCTTCCTTTCCGCGCCATGCTACCAGCGGCTCACTCTGAGAGCAAAAGCACTCTGCAAGTCGCTCGTCTAGGGTTAGCCAAGCGGGAGGAGAGTGAGAAGCAAAACGGGCCAGCGATAACACCTGGTTGGGATTACGCTAACTCCCAACAAGACGACACCGTGGAGGTGAGGCGGTGTGAAAAATAAGTAAGCTGCTGAAAAGCCGCGAGAGCGAGGTTTAGGTTTTCCTAGACCCCGAGCCCTTCATTCATGCGGTAAAAAGGGCCTCGACACTGCAATAAGATGTGACAAGTTTACGGAAGGGTGTACAGCGCCACTCTAAAGCTCATTTTCAACTATGCAACCAATGTGCTCAACTCATGCTACGACCAATCAGGGCTGATTTTATCAGACTATTTTAGTCTGATTGTCTGAAATTTCAGACCCATTTTTTTGCCAATCCTGATTTTTCAGACTTAGGCTTTTTCTGGATACTGAACCCTTCAGACTTGTAAGATTTTGGATCCTGAACTTTTCAGAGTAGTCGTTGTGCGGATACTGAGGTTTCAGAGTACATCGCGTATGGACTCTGAATGCGACATCCATGCACCTTGTACTTTCCACGAGATCTCCTCTACTACGTCATATGTTGCCTTCCATCATTTCACCCCCGCACGTCTCACGCGAAGTATCTGCACTTGGCAGGATTCCCGCCGCTTCTGTGACTGTGATGCTGCCTCAACAGGGACTTTGCCGCTCAGCGCGTCATGCTTCCTGCCACGCATGCGACCTCTACGTGGGTGTATTGGAAGCCATCAAAGGCTGGTAACGCAGGATTCTTGCCCTCGCTGGCATGTGCAAAACTTTCCGACCGACCGTGATTGGCGGCAGTCCATGCCAACCCATGGTTCGTTCGTAACGTCAGCTCATGTTTGGCATGGCGGCGCGGGTTTGGAAGGAGCTGCCATCCAGAAGCTGACGACGACGGTTAACCAAGAAACACGCGCCTCGGGCTTGATGGTGCCCTTCTTCTTCGGCCCTCTCATCCCTCCCCCTCCTCTCAGGCGCACTCAGGCTTTTACACGGGGTTTGTAAATCTTACTCCTCAATTCGTGTTTCGTTGTTGTCGTCCTCACGTAGGTTCTCGTTTGTCGACCCCGTCAACAGCCATGACGGGGACTCCTGCAGAAGAAGACGATGAGCCCAGCGCCGATGAACCACCTCATAGTAACGAGCCTGCAGAGGTTCGTCACTCTGCGATAGACATACTGCGGTCGTTAGGTTCTCCTCCCGTCGTTGCTGTTGTGGTTTCCTCCGCAGCGGAGGAAACCCAACCTGCTCTAAACCCACCCCCGTCCGCGCCCTTCGTGCCACCACCATATGTCCCTCCGCCTGCCGTCGCCTCATCCAGCAGAGGCCCGACTCTGCCCGTTAACTGCGTCACCGCCACCACAGTCCGCTACAGCGTGCCCTGCGCGTCCACGATTTCGTCTGCGAATAAACAACGGACGGGCAAGTACACCCAGTCTCAAATTATGATCGGAGGTAGGCTCCGCCGCCCGTCCACGCCGCCATCACCTAGTGCAGTCCCTGCCGTCGTTGAACCGCCACCGCCAAAGCTGAGTAAGAAGGAATTGATAGAGCAGAAATACCTCGTCGCTGAAGCAAAGTACAAAACTTCATGGCTGCCTTTCTTTCCATGGCTAGTGCTGACCAAAACAAAAGACGGCCACCCTTCTCTCAAGTGCAGTGTGTGCATGACGTTTGGCAAGGAGACCACCAAGTACAGCTCTTCAGGCGATGGTGGTCGAGACCTGCAGACACAGACCATGCGCATACACGAACACTCTTCTGCACACAAGGAAGCTGTGGATGCCAGCTGAAGATTGCCGACGACATCGCCGATGGCAGAAGACGATGGACGACTATTTGTCGTCGGATGTCGAGAGGAGGCGGGTCGTGCGACTGCTCTGCGCTGTTGAGTTTCTCTGTAAGGTCGATGCTCCCATCAGCATGTTTCCTCGGCTATGTCGCTTTATGGCTGAGCAGGACACCCCGGACCTACCGCTCCAGTCTTACGGTGTTTACCTCACTCGGTAAGAACCAGCGAGTACATTCCATTAGTCTTCTCCGTTGGACTATTTTAACAATTACTCTCTCTTCTGCGTGCAGGTACGGCTTTCAACAGATGGTCCACTGCTTGGCGACTCTTCTTCAACGGACCCAGATGCAGCACATTCAATCGTCCCCGTTCCTCGGCATCAGTTGCGACGAGAGCACTGATCGTACCAGAGGGAAGCACCTGATAGTGTACCTCACGTTCCTGCGCCATCGCCGCGTCGTCACCGAGTTTTTCTCGTTGCTCACCGTCGAGAAGTGCGACGCCGCATCCCTGCTCTCCGTGCTTCTCACTCATCTTCAAGGCGCCGGCATCGAACTCAACCGCATCGCGGGAATCAGCACCGATGGCGCTTCTGTCATGGTTGGGCGCGAGAACGGTCTCGTGGCGCGGCTCCGCGAGCACATCCCTCACCTTGTGTTGTCCCACTGCATCGCCCACCAGTATAAACTCGTTATGTTATGTTGTCGCTTTTTTCTTTTATTCGTTTACTAATCTTTTTACATGGACTGTGCGCAGTGAAGCTCTGGCTGTGAAGGACACCGCATCTGCCTGTCCAGACTTGGACATGGTCGACAAGGTTATCCGATCTCTGGCCGATCTCCTCGGCCGTTCAAGCGTGTGGAGCCAGCGGTTCAAGTACCTGCAGCGTGTCATCCACAAGACCAACCTTGAAGTTCAAGGAATCCACGCGATTCGGTGGCTGTCCAGGGGCGAGGCAGTCAGACGCCTCTGTAAGGTCCTTGGTGCGGCCATCATTTTACTGTACGAGTATAACCATGAGCTGTACGAGGTTGTCATCTCATACAAGTTTCAGTTTTGTCTCTTCTTCCTGGCGGACGTCCTCACCATCATGAACGAGCTCAACCTCAAGTTTCAGAAGCGAGAGGTGAGCCCTTGCATGTGAGCTTGTGGTATATTCTTTTACAATCAGCACTAATATTCTCCCCCTTGATTTGCGCCCCCATGTTTCCACCACCCCCCCCCCCCCCCTCCCCGCCCGACCGCAGGTGGATGTTACCGAGATAACACAGGACGTCGACGAGGTGGTGGGGGATCTTCGGCACCGCTACTTGGAGTGCGGCGGGGTTTTCGGTGCGGGCGTAAGCGGCACGTGGCTCTCGGCTTTCTTAACCGTGTACGGGCGAGGGGGGGCGAAGAGAGTGAAGGTGCGCGGCGTCGACAAGGACGGGCAGCCGGTGACGCACACGTACCAGATGCACGAGCGGCAGATCAAGGGGCACGTCTACCAGAGCAACTACCGGGACTGCGAACTGTTGTGCGCGAAATTCGCGAGGGGGAGCATGATGAACCTGCTGGAGTGGCTGGACGACCTATCGAAGCTCGGGCCGACGAAGCTGTTTTGGGCGGGCAAGTGGCCGCGGCATCGGATGGTGAGGGAGAAGAAGACGAGAGAGTATCTCCATGGCTGCAGTGCTATCTTCGACGACAAGCTCCCCGAGTTCGATTTGAAGGAGGCGGAAAAGGAGCTGGCAACTTGGGCCCCGATCATGCAGAACCACCACAACGAGGAGGGCTTCTACCAAGGCCTCACAAACTACCTTGGCAACACGAAGTCAAGCAGGTAAGACGAGCCTCCAAAGCACGCTGCTGTGTCTGCCTGTGTATAATTGTTTTTGCCAGTTTGACCACGCTAACTGTCTATGTTTGTATCAACTTCTATTGTTCCTTTCCCACCATGCTTGTAGTTTATAATTGATTCTATTGTTCCACGCCTCTTGTGTGTGGTTGTTCCATAAACAGGTCCTGGCCCAACCTCATGCTTCTCTGGCAAGCATGCGCGGTGTTACCACTCTCAACTGTGGAGTGCGAGCGTGGTTTTTCCAGGCAGAACGTGATCAAGTCTTGGGTCCGTGGTGCTCTGTGCAATGCCCGCCTGGGTGAGCTGATGATGATTTCGCTGCTGAGATACGACATCAACTGGCAGGAGGCGCTGGAGCTATGGCACGCAAAGAAGAGAATATCATAATTGAAGAAGAGAATGATTGATAGAGTGAGAGTACAAACAGATATACCTAAGTGTTGTACCCTCTAAGAGGCGACCCTATACAGTCTATACAAACATGACAAATACACATGTTTGACACACCCCCTAGACTGCATAGGGGAATGTCCTAAACAAGCAGCTCAGGGCGGCACTACTAGTCCAACCTCTGAGATAAGGGTCTGAGAGACCAGTCAAAAGGAGTACAAACAAGGCAAGAACAAGAGCAGGGCGGCACTACTAGTCCAGCCACTGGAAGAGGACACAAGTCCAGTCCGAGTATACGTATAAAGACAGTACAAAGTCAAGGTCCTAGCAAGTGAGAGGCTACAGGAACTAGACCAAGCTGTACACAGTGCCGCTGATAATCTTTAGGCGCAAGCGCCTTCGTAAAGATATCAGCCGTGTTGGCACCTGAGGCCAAGTGTACTACGCGAGCCTGACGTCGCTCCTGTAGCAAACGCACGAGGAAGTACCGCAGCTGAATATGCTTTGCTCTGCCCTCGAGTCGAGGCTCCTGACACAGGAGGATCATGGCCCTGTTGTCAGCGAACAGAACCGGGGCAGAGCTAGGCCGCTCACCTAAGTCAGTGAGCAAGAAGGTCAGCCAGCGGAGCTACTTCGCCGCCATGGCACCGGCGTAGATCTCAGCCTCACAGCTGGACTGAGCAACAGACGAGGAGCGGGTAGCTCTCCACGAGACGGCACCTGAGCCAAGGCTGAAGCAGTAGCCCTGGGTAGACCCGAGTGCCTCAGCGTCGTCTCCCCACGAAGCGTCTGTGTGTCCAGTAAGGACCACTGGTCTGCGTCCTCCTAGCACTAACCCCATGCCCGATGTACTTGCAAGATAACGCAGAACCCTCTTAGCGGCAGACCAGTGCTGCGGTCGGTGTCTGCCTGTGGCCACAAAGCGAGCCAGGATGCTGAGAGGGTACGCGAGATGTGGGCGAGTGCAAGTCATCAGGTACATGAGGCAACCCACCAGCTCTGCGTAGGGGCCACTGGGCTCTACCAACTCCTCAGACACTGGAGCGGAGAGTCTGTGGTCTACAGGCAGAGGGGTGGGCTGTGCAGAGG